TTCTAGCTTGAGTTAGTGCAGACTTCTTATAGCTAGTCTGCCTTCCTGATTGACTGAAATTGTGTGAAAATAAAACTCAAGGCCCATCTGCTCCTCTAGTTTTCATCCAAGATTCCCTGGAAGGGAGGTACATTGGAGACCAAATATTTGCCATAGCTGTGTGTGGCTGTGGTTTTGGAAGACATCCCAGTATGGAAAAATACAATACTAAATAATACTAAATTTTTTCAATGTCAGTCTCTCTCTCTCTTCTCTTTATCTTTCTCTCTCCTCACCATCCCTCTCTTTCCCTCTCTCCTTTACCACTGTATAAAAATTCTAACTTTCTCCAGGGAATTTCCTGACGCCCTACTATTTCATGTCTGCAGAATATTGAGATACACGTTCAAGCGCAACCAGCAAGCTGACTCTTTAGAATGTGTAATGTGTAATAACCATTATTACAGTTGGAAATAAAAGTGGATGGTTCATCATTACAGTCAGTATGGCCACGTGTGCACGTGTGGAGTGCTGCGACAGCCGTCTCTGGGAAATCTCATACCCATCGTGGCCTGTGTTGTTGCTTAAGCTGTCCCCTCTTTCTAGAATGTTTTTAACCCTCTTTCTACCTGTCTGTAGCCTCTCATTTCTTCAGGTTGCATTCATTATTTATATGTTACCTGACAGCATCAGTGATCATTAATCATTCTTATTCCTCAATACCTGGAAATATTTGTTATACTAAACTTGGGGTTGGAAAACTTTTTCTATAAAAGGTCAGACAGTAAATATTTTAGTTTTGCAGTCCATATGGTGTCTATTGCAACATTCTGCTGTTGTGTGGAAGCATTCATGGGGAATACGCTGATGAATGAGCGTGAGGGTAACTGAGCTCCAGTAAAACTTCACTTGCAGAAGCAAGCTGCGAGCTGGGTTTGGCCTGCAGGCCATGGTTTGCTGACTTCTGTGCTTGACATTTCTTAAAGTTTTCAGAGCTCGAGAGAACCGTAGCTAAATTTCTTCACATTACGTGTGTCATCCTTAGGAAAGGAGTTAATTGACATATTCAAGGTGACACATTTATACTGGAGCCAGGCCTAACAGCAACTCACCTGAACAACAGCCCTGCATTTTAAATTTATTTGTTACTTTAAGTATTTGATTATATTCTCTTTGGCATTGAATTACAAACTTTTTTACTATTTTCTTGTTTCATGTTTAATTACTTTTTGTAAATTCATCTATTATTGCCATTCGTGGGGGAATGGGTCGCATATATTTTGTTTTCATTGCCTAAACAGGTTAGAGCAGTAAAATGCATAGAGTAAGATACCAATAAATATTTGTGATTAATGTCCTCCAAAATATAGTATTTGTAGCCTTTTTTGTATTTAATTTTATGATCATAGATTATGTTTCAACTTAGAAGAATATGAGGTTGCCAAAGCTTAAATTCTGATAATTTAAAGCCACCTTTTAAAAAAATAATATCTCATTTGCTCTTATCTCTGCTGATCCCAATTTTATTCTAATTATTGTTATTCT